ACTCAGAATTCTTGAGTACAGACATCAAACTGCAGTTAGTGAAGCATGATTTTATTAATTGAGATTTTGTATGCCTAATTCTCACTTAGAAAAACTTACTAGAACTGCTCCTTAATCTGTTTATCTTTAAGGAACCTGCCTAGATTTTGGTCTTTTCAATTTTCTGGAAAGTATAACTTGCTGAAGCTGATGGATCTGTTTTGTCTATGCTTAGATCCCATATATTCTGAAGCAGAATACAGATGCACTACCTAACCAGAGTAATAAAATGCTGTTAAAATTTTTACATTCTAAAAGTGTGCTACTTATTATATAACCATTAAATGCCACCCCATCTAAATAGCCGGTATTGGATGAAGACAGACCATTGATCTTACTCTGAATTCATCATACAATCTACCCGATTCTGTTAACTTCGGGATACTCCATAGCACCGCCTAGAATTCACTGTTAATCAGAGCTGCCTCGGGCGCTGCTTTGATGGAAAGGGACGACTCACATTAATTACCCGCCTTCCTCCTTCCCATTTCCCGGTATTTTGACCATTTCCCTTCCCGCTTCTCCCACTAACCTGCCAGCTGTCTCGGGAGCTGTTTGAGGGGCAGCACTTCCTGCACCACGTACTGCAGAGACCCCGCGCTGCGAAGCAAGTCGGTCGGAGACAGAGGCAAATGGAACTCCCACGAGGGAGGCGAAAGCGAAGTCGGATCAGCCATGATCCCTTCCGATCCGCAGCCTAACGGGAGGCAGATCGAACCTCAGACATCCGCACTCCTAAGCTCGGCGCCGGATAGAATTCAGAACATCGTAGATTTTGGAACGCAGGACCGGCGGCTCCAACCTCTTGTGAGGTCGGCTTGGCGGCAGAACCGAGTAGGGGGCGGAAAAAAATCAAACTTCCCCTACACCTCTCGCGCCAATGGCAGACCAATAGGGGAAGGAAAATGACGCGCCAGGAATTCGAATAATGTCCGCTCGCCCAATCAGGTTGTTCTTTGATAGCTCGGCAGCCAATCGTTTTTTAAGGTCGATCGTTCTTTCGTGGTCCGCAATCAAATCCCGCAAGGACAGGCGCGCTTCGGAGGGCGAAGAGTTATGAAAAGTGTAGAGTTATATTTGTCCTGAAGACCAAGTTTCTTACAGTTCTATTTTTATTTCTTTGAATAAAAAGTGAAAGCTCCCATCTTAAAAAACAACATCAAGATACTGTGTATACCATTTTTGACAAAAATGTAATTTTCAAATTCTAAGTATTTGTATTCTCAGTGCATGGAGTAGTCAGTTGCATTTGAATGGGTGAAACATCTGTATACATTTTAAAAGTAAACTTTATACCATGGTAACTTCCATGGGACATAAACTTTTCCTTCTAAATGAACAAGCATCATTTTAGCTCCTTATTTTTCTCCATTGATTTCTGTAGGCAGGAGTCGATGTCTGCCTTGGAATGTTGCAAGAAGTGTCCTTCTGGGTTCAGTTCCAAGTGGGGAAAAAAACACTGGAAACATTGAGGCTGCTTGGAAAGATGGTTTAATGGTGGACAGGATCATATGGCTTGAGCTCCTGAACAGAAAAGGGGGATCACATGCTTCCAGATGTTGGGTGAGGAAAAAAGGAGAGGAAAAAAAGGGCTTGCTGAATTTTTTTCTCCTCTCTGTTCGGCCCCACCTCTCTGTTTCCTGTTCCTGTGTAAGAAATGTATTCTGATTGGTTGTCAGACTCCCAGGGGCGGCCACGGTGTGTGTGTGTGTTTCTTAGCTATCTTTGTAGGTTGTGTATCTTTTGAGTCCCAAGCTTGGTTGAGCATTGCTTCTTCCCAGGTGCCCTCTGGTGAGATGGGTAAAGGGCTGATACTATCGTGCCTTCATCCCATCCCCCGGGAGCTGAAGGGGGAGATCTTTGTTATGTAGAATAGACAGGCC